TAACCAGTCCCAGGCTGAGCAGAGACCAAGATTAACCAGTCCCAGGCCTCTGACAAGTGCTGCCAGTCAGGAGCCAACCCCAAATCCATGGAATTTGCTCCAGAAAACCACGATTCTCACCTGGGCTGGAGCAGTTCCCAATTAACGGCATCGCCCCAACGACCACAATGAACTGAACACAAATAAACAAGGAAGGTACAGAAGGATCTTTGCTGAATTAGTGTGGGATCCAGAGGGTTTCCAGAGGAAAAACTGTGGGATTTGTGGTTGATAAGCAACAAGACAAGAGACAACCAACGGCAAAAAGTTGGGTGTGGGTTGGGTTGGGATTTAGCCCTTGGAGGGGTGGAAAACCTCCAGTTGTTGTTGACATTTGTTTTAGTTCTGTCTGGAAAATTTAACAGCAAGTTTGAAGTCAAACCAACTTTGGCAAAGGTAAAAAAAAAAAAAAAAAAAAAGGCAAAAACGGTATAAAACAAAAAAAAGAGAAAAAAATTCCAAGAGGAGGAAGAGCCTTTGGCCCCCCAAAAAAAGTTCCCTTCCAAATCACTAAGTCCATAATTGCAAAATAAAACCCACTAAATCTCAATATCTATTTGCACAGCTCATTAGCCAAGGGCTCCCACTCAGCAGAGAGGGAGGGGAAAATAGGAAAAAAACCCAAAAACAAACCAAAAAAGAAAAAAACCCTCTTCAGCACCGAAGTGGATTTGGGGAGTTGCCATGGCAACTGGTGCTTGGGAGCTGCATCTCGAAATTCCCTGCTCAGATGGGGCTGGATGGTTGTCCACACACCCACAGGCTGCCAGAGGAGGGGATTGGTTTTAAAATCCTCTTAAAAAAAGGCAGGGTAAGGTAATAAATGTAGAAATATATAAATATAAAATAAGTAGGTAAATACAGGAATATATAAATATAGAAAGAAATGTATAAATATAAAATAAATGTATAAATATAGAAGGAAAAATCTAAATATGTGAGGAAAGATCTCAATATAAAATAAATATATAAATATATAAGGAAATATCTAAATAAAAAATAAATACAAAAATATATAAAGAAATATCTAAATATATAAGGAAATACCTAAATATAAAATAAATATATAAATATAAATAAAATATATAAATATATAAATTAAATATATAAATATATAAATATATAAATATATAAAATTAAATATATAAAATAAAATATATAAATATAAAATAAATATATAAATATAAAAGGAAATGCGTAAATATAAAATAAATATATGAATATATAAATATACAAATAAACATCTAAATATAAAATAAACATATAGATATAAATAAAATATATAATTATGTAAATATAAAATAATATATAAAATATAAAATAAAAAAATATAAATATAAAATAAATATATAAATATAAAAGGACATATCTAAATATAAAAATACCTAAATATGAAAATATATAAATATATAAATATAAAAATTAAATAAATAAATAGACAAAAATTTTAAAAATTTAAAAATATAAATATATAAATACATAAATGTATAAATATATAAATATATAAATATCCAACCCATGTAACTCCCTCCCCTGTTATTTCTCTCCCCCCCAAACACAACCCCATGTCAGACACTCGACCTGCTCTGCTCCCGGGCCAGCGGTGATTTACGGCGTGAAAAGGGAAAACCTAAATCATCCCGGGCTGAAAACGTTCCAGTTAATGCAGCACGAGTGAGGAATTTATTCCCATTAACTCCGACCAGCAGTTATAACCCGCCCGTCCTTCGCTGTCCCCAACATCCTCCTCCTCCTCCTCCTCCTGCCCGGAGCGCTCATGTGTGTGCTCCATGGTCACCACTCCTTGTTAACGGGACTGCCTCATTTTCCAGGGAATGGC